CTTCTTTAGCCATTACCCATTCTAGAACAACTATGGTATTTTGTTTCTATAGATTTCATCATGGATCTTCTAATCTCAAGTTCTTATGACTTTATATTTATGATAGTAGATTGTTTTACTAAGATGGCACATTTGTACGATGTACAAAATCTATCATTGGTGAAGAAACAACTAAGATCTTTCTTAATAATATCTATCACTATCATAGATTATCCAAGGATATTATATCAAATATGGGAACTGAGTTTGTATCAAGATTTTGACAAACTCTTTTCAAGATTCTAAAAGTAGATATAAAACAATCTTTGGCATTCCATCCTCAAACTGATCGACAAACGGAGCGTGTTAATCAAGTTTTGGAGGAGTATTTAAGATGTACCATCAACTACCAACAAGATGATTGGATAACTTTTTTGCCATTGGCAGAGTTTGCTTATAATAACATCGTACATTCTTCTACAAAATAATCTTCTTTCTTTGCCAATTATGGTTATCATCCATGACTTGATACTTTTGATTTTTCAAAAGCTGATAATCCTGCAACAATAGATTTGATAAACCATTTGTCAAAGCTATATGCAATAATGAAGTCATAGTTAAAAGAAGCTCAAGAACAACATAAGATCAATGCAGATGTCTATCGAAAGAAACAACCACCATTCCACATGGGTGACAAGGTATGGTTACTTCGTCGCAATATCAAGACCATTGATCCTTGTGATAAGTTTGACTATCAAAGGCTTGGACTATTTTCTATTTCTATACAAATCAATTCAGTTGCATGTCGTTTACACCTACTGGAGTCAATAAAAATCCATCTAGTATTCGACGTATCTCTTCTTGAACCATATAAGACAGTGGACATACCAAGAAGAAGACAAGCTCCACTTCTTCTTATAGAAGTAGATAATAATAAAAAGTTTGAAGTGAAAGAAGTCTTAGATTTAAGGAGTCATCAAAATAAATTAGAATATCATGTCTATTGGCGCAGATATGATATTAGTAAACACACATGGAAGCCAAAAAAGAATCTTGTAAATGAAAAAAGGTGGTGGAGGCTTTTCATCGATGACATCCATCAAAATCAAGATAAAAACACTCTTTACAAACAAAAAAAAATCTATGTAAGATAACATTCTACTTTCAATCTTTATTTTATTTCTTGTCCATTTCTATTTGAAGAAGTGGATAATTCTACTTTCAATCCTTGTTTGTAGTTGTGATGCTAAGGAGATGGAAAACCAGCAACCAATGGATACAACTCAATAGCCTTTGTTTGCTGACCTGCCAAACAAGACATTATGATTGTCACACCCTTCAAGACGATGCAATCGAGATGAAGATTTTGAAGAACGACATGTTCTTCTTCAAATAGATGGCAAGATATAACACGTTTGATATCACGACCTTAGAAGAGACTTCCAATTTTTGGTGATTTTACGAGAGGTAAGAAAAACTCTTAACAATGTTCTAAATGTTTTATTTGAACGAAGTTATGAAGGCCTCAATATCGATCAAATAACTGGGTGGTCTTCTGGCCCTAGTATGAGACACTATCAATGGTTGAAAGGCCCTATCAATCATCTTCAAAGAGAACAAAGATGAGAGTATGTAGCAAATATAATTTGCCACATTTTAGATTTCCTCGATATGTGAACATTGCTCCTTATGGGACTCGTCTCTAGAAGAGGGGATAATGTCACGGACACATATTTATTGTAATTGTTACCTAGGTGATATGAATAGGTAGAAGTAAATAAAAATAGATTAATTTCATAATATCTTCTAAAGAAGCTTCCTAAAAGCTTAATAAACGCTACTTTAATTATACATGTGTTTATACTTGATTGGTAGGTTAGAAACTTGGGCAACAAGTTAACCACGTGCCATACATGTTGGTAGCTTACAGAACAAGCTAAGTATATGGCGTCTACTTAGAAAACTTGCCTTGTAAATTAAAATACGTATTATACAAAGTCAATACGTTTTTAGAGATCATATAGAATGTCGCCATGTAGCTTCTAGGTAGATAGTATATATATAGAGGCAAGAGTGAAGCCTTCTTCACTCTTGTCAACTCCTTTTTTGCTTCTATTCTAGTTTCAAGGGTCTCTAGTTTTCTTGTCTTTTGGCAAAAGCCATTCCAATTTCTTTCTTAATGTACCTATCTAATTATTTCTATTTTGTCATATTTCTTTGAGAAAAGTCTCACTTTTTTATTTGTTTTGATCAAGTTCTTATCGTTGACAACAAAACAACCCAAACAATATGTTCAATTACATTAAAAAAATAAAAAAATAAAAAAATAAAAAAATAAAAAATAACCATTTAAAATTTACATACAGATTTATATTAATTAAATTATTTCATTAGAGAATATATATATATATATATATATATATATATATATATATATTATTTTGGATTAATGATTTATTGAAATTTTGAGTTATGAATGTATATATATATATATATATATGTATAGGAATTTGATAATGCCATTATAGTATTTGCTATTTCTATGATGATTTTGCTATTGCCATCTATCCAAAGTACTTTTACAATTTTTTTCATATATATAAAATATTGATATTTCCATTTTTTTAATTATGTAGATAATGAATTTAGTTTACATATAAATAAATCAAAATTTTAATAGGAGTAAGTTGTGGTGGCAATAGGAAATAATTGTTGTGGCATTTAGTGGACCATTAAATGTCAGAATAAGTGCTACAATAAATTTGGTGCTAGTAGCAAAAATTGTGGTGGCATTAGCAATACCCTATGATTATAATGCATTACTTATAGATTTATGATAATATTTTGTATTAAAAATTTGAGTTTATTTTTTAGCACTAAAATTTTATAATATGATATTTAAAATTAAAATTGAAAAATATAGAATTTTAATAATATAAATTATAATAAAATATTTTTTAAAAATAAAATTTTAATAATTAAAATTTTATATATATATATATATATATATTGAAAGAAGAGAGGTGTGAAAGTTTAGTAATCATTTTAAAAAAAAAAAAAAAAAAAAAAAAAAAAATCTTCTTAAGTGCATTAGAAATTATAATATATACAAACATTAATAATAAGTGCATTAGCAATACCCTATAAATGTTTGTATATATATGTATATATATATATATATATATATATATATATATAGTTTTGCTAATGCTATTAAAATTTTTGCTATTGACATTACAACTTATTCTTATTAACTTATCAATTATTTTTTATTAAAATAAAATTTTTATTTTATATAATTTGAGAAAAAAATAAAAATAAAAACAAAAAAAACAAACAAACAAACAAACAAACAAAATAATACTTGTTGAAAATATTAAAATAATATTTTACTAGTATAAACAAAAACTAAAAAAATATATTGAGTAGGTGGCAAGTTGTGGTGAGGATAGCAAAAATTTTGGTGACATGAGGTGGATGACAAGTTGTAGTGGCAACATCAAAAACTATGGCAACATTAGCAACATTCTATATTTATACACATCTATACATAAATTTAATATTATACAATGATTTATTTTTATAATATTTAATAATATATTTGCCAATATTAAATATATATAAAATAATTTTAAAGTATAAATAGTATCATATATATAGATATCATCTTAGATAATCAACATCATATATCAAGACTACCTTAGAAAAAAATACAAGTTCAAGAAAAATAAATTAAAAATGGTACAATAAAATTTAATAATAAAAATATAATTAGATTATTAAACTAAAAATATAAATATAAATTATTTAAATAATCAATTTAAGAATGCTTGCCACTTTATTATAAAATAATTTTATATTAAAAATATAACTTTAAAATTAAAACTTTATCCAAATTCAAGGACACTTAGCCATTGAAGACAAAAGAAAGAATTACAATGCAATCTACAGGCCATATTGGATTCTTTGCTAAGTTAGATTTGAAAAGTATAAAAAATATATATAAATATATATATATATATATATTATTTTTCATTCAATAATATTAATAAAATTGATAAATAATAAAATTATACATTTATTTATTTCATGTCATTTGTAGTCATTAATTATTTATTATTATTTATAAATTAATTCTTGAAGTTCATTAAAATATAATCACACATGAATATATCTTCAAAAAGACATGTGTTTAAGGAAATATATATATATATATATATATATATTTAATAGTCTTATTGCATGTTTATTTTATTGCATACAAAACCTATAAGTATTATATATAAATTTGAAATTAATTTATTTTTATACAATTCAAAAAATTAGTAACTAAATTTTATCATATACCATAATCTAAATCCCATTCAAACTAAGACTCTTACTAGTCATCTCATTTTATATCCATATTTTACAAACACTTTCAATATGTACATTGTTAGCCAATTGAATTAGCATTGAATAACAAATGAATATATATATATATATATATATATATATATATAAGAGAATGTTAAATTGACCTAGATTTTTACTAAATTGATCTATCCATGATAAAGAATATGGTAGTCATGATAAATGTAGTTGGTTTTCATTGGTTTTAGATTTAGTAGTGGAAAAATGAATTTAGTGATCATTTTTATTTTTATGATGAATGGGTCAATTTAGTAAAAGCCTGTGGATCTAATTAACATTCTCATACAGATATATTTTGAATATATTAGATAAAAATGCATCATATTCTATCTAACCTTATATAATCCATATAAAACCATGAAAATAAGAAAAAAAAAACCACCTCGCCAACATCACATGTCAAACCCATCAACAAAACACACAAACCACCGTGATCTCAACTTACACAGTAGACATGAAAAGAGAGCAACTTTCAGCAATGCGGCGATGTGAGAAAATGCGGTAAGATGCATCACGAGAGCAAATTTGTATACAAAAAACACGAAGTTCCACCGCATCACACACAAGGTGTCGACCAAGACACCGAAACATGTCGGCGGCACAACCGCCTCCTCGGAATGCTGCCGGAGGCTCATCGCGATTGGGGGGCGGGGGGGAGACAACAGCTTGAAATCCAGCTACACTTGCCTCTGGATCAGTGCCGCAACTCAAACAACGCTAGATAAGATAATTTAAAACTTGCGGCGCCGTCTAGATAATTAGCGTGAGGTCCGCGGATTCATTAAGTGAGAGAGAGAGAGGGAGAGAGATGCTCCTCCGCTGGGACTGTGTGATGTATGCAGTCTCGACGAATCTGACAAGTTGGGGAAAGCGGGAGTGGAGAGGGGCATTATTAGCACGGTCCTGATACGGCTCCTTCAAAAACCTTGGCCAAGTCAAAGCGGAACTGTCGACGCGGCTGGCCTCGGACTGACGATCCGGTGCATCGGTGCATGGTGGGTACAGACTACAGCCCGTTTGGGTCAGATTGATGGAAGCTTAAGCAATGGTGGAAGGAAGGGGACGAGGAAGTGGAGACGGAGGAGTTGGGCGGATTTGCCGATGCGGTCGAAGTGGGGGCCGCGGGTGCGTGTTGCCGGGAAGTTGTCGGGAGCCGTGGAACAGGATGATTGGTTACGTGTGCGACTGGATCGACGCCTCTGAAGTGCCGATGATGATGAATTGCCACTGACTGACAGGCTGATGCGGTGGGATGGTACTATGCCGCGATCGTGCGCCAATGCCCTCTAGAGGGAGGTGGGACTGAAGTCTTCCCTGCAGTTGTAAGAGTGTGTGCGTGTGTGTGTGTGTGAGCGCGCGGAGTGACACTCTGTGTTGATTAGTTTGTAGGGGCAGAAGGTATATTTGGCTGTGTGAGTGTGTCAGATGGTTCACTGTGCGCATTGAAGCTGCGCAGGTGTGTGGAGAGCAGAATTCCCGAGAGGCTCGTAGGCTTGTCTCGTTGCGAAGAGACGTTGATGTCGTGATTTTATATTTATATTTATATTTTTGTTTGCCTTATTCCTTATGCCTACTCATCAATGAAAGTTTGCTACCCGTTTGGACTTCAGCTTGTAGAGGCATAGTGAGCTTCTCTGTGCATCAAATTGGTAGCGAATTTGTTAGGTGTTGCTAGGAGGTGAGCTGCATTGGATTAGTTCTGGACAACGGTCATCTGTGCTATCAATTCCTGTGGTAGTGTCTAAACGTGAGAGTGAGTTACAAGTTTGCAAATTTGAGCCAAAGCATCGGTCACTCCCCTGTAGGTTTAGAATTGCTTGGATTAAAGCGACCTTGATCTGCAGTCTTGATCGCGAGTCAATTAGAAAGCTTTTGTGGGAAGAGCGATAGTCAATCTATGTTAACTGTCGAGTGAAGCTTAACTTTCGTAGAATCGGGTCAATCTGCCTCCCGTCGAGGACATGAGCCTTGGAAGCACGCGGTGTTCTCTTTCATATGTTGGATTGTTCGTCGTATTCTCAGAAGGATAGAGCTTTGAGAGGGAATCTACATTCTCTTAACAAAGCTCTCCTGGTTCATTAACTCCAGTATTATTTGAAAAGGACCACTCGTGACCTCGACTAAGCGCTTCCATGAGCACCAAAAAGGGCAGCGCGACTTCTTTAACAAATGAGGAGAAAAAAAATCGCTATTTCATCGAGAATGAGCCTTTACAACTTTTATCTGTACTAGACAAACTGCGCGTGCACTTGTAGTATCCCACAGTAGTAACGGTGTTGAAATTTGTTGCACAATATTGGAAGGTGACTCCAGCTCTTGGGTAGTAACCAATTAAAACGATGGGTAATTGCCATGCGGTTGATCCCGTGTGTGCGACCGTGGAGCATCCGAATGGTACTGTCGAGAAGCTCTACTTCTCTTCCTCCGCCCGGCAACTGATGCTCCAGTACCCTGGGCACTACGTTGCCCTTCTGCCGCCTCCACCAAACCCTTCTGTGGATGGTGGAGTTAGGAACTTTCGACAGAAGGCGAAGCTTCTGCAGCCGGACACTATGTTGAGCGTTGGCTGCTGCTACCGGTTGGTGACTTTCGAAGGTAAGACCACAATACTTGCATTAATACCAGTATATGTGACCCTTTTCTAGATTCGTCGATTCTGAAAAAATGAACACATTGAGTGCTCTGAAATTGCAACAGGTCCCTAATTTGTATGCAGAGCTAGTTTTTCGATTTATCCGCAACCTGACCTGCATGGCCTTCTCACATCATGTAGCCTTTTTTCGGTGTTGCAGATGTTTTGTCAGAGCTTTCTGACAAGGGCAACATGGTTCGTCAGACAAGCAAGAAGAGAATCCCCCAATCCAACACGGCCACACCGATGAAGCAGCAATCTTCGATCCAACCATCCCATGTTTCCAATCACCATTCAGAAGTCAGCAAGGCTGCAGTGAATCACATAAATCAGCTGCGAGCAAGGCTATCAAAGTCCTTCCTTGTACAAAAGGTATCTCCTCAAAACCGTTGCTGCTCACCTCCTTTCCAACCAAGCTGAGATCATTATCATTCACAAGATCTTTCTGCTGCTTGCGTGGTTTGAAGAGAAAAACTTCATTGCTTGCAGGAAAACGAAAATTCATCTCCACCAGCCTTTCAAGCGAGGCCAGGTTTCGTGTCCAGACGTTCACCGCCGCAGTCTCTGCATCCAGTGCAACGAGTACGAGCTTGGCGGCCGAGCCTTCAGAGCATCTCTGAGCGAAATCGATGATCAGTAGATCGACGTTCAGCACCTCCATCTGTACATACCAACCATGTGCATCGTGCAAGTCTTCATCCACCAACATAAATGCACAGCCAAGCTTCTTACGTGTCCGTCAATTCTTTTGTAAACAATATCTCGTCCATTCATTCACGTTTTACTGTCGAATAGTTTGGACATAAGCAATACAAAAAGTGCAAAATTCAAGTAGATTAGATGAGTTTGTTAATCCTTGTGAAGTTTGTGACAGCGTGATCAGCCGCTAAGGGCTTTGTGTCATCAGTTGCAGCAGATGTCCTTCAATTCTGAAGTCTTGGCAGATATTCCTGTGATTTTAGTCCTTGACTAATAAAATTGAAGAAACATTCTCTTCATTCTTCAAGTGTCTTCACTCTTAAAATTGAATATGCTGATGGATATTATTATTAACTGGTGATGAGCTTGGAGTGAACAATGTTTTTTTGCTTACAATGCGTTGTATGCTTCATATCTTCTTTGTGAACGCATCCTACACGGAAGTCTGAGCTTGAAATATTTTACAACAGATTAATTTAAAGACTTCAAATTATGTACTTTGACACAAATATCTAGTATACAGGTTTTATTTGTAAAATAAAAATTATAAGTGCAATAAAAGAAATAGGAAAAAAAAAAAAAAAAAAAAAAAAAAAAAAACCCATGTCAATCTGCATAACGAAAATAAAAGAATACAGTTTTCTTAACACCAAATTTGCCTTATTAAATCACCATACATCAACAAATGCACATCTTTTATTCTTTTTATTTTTTACCGGGAATTATTACTTTACTGCAGTAATAAATATTTGCAGATATTATGTGACTGTGTACTGTACAAAAAAATCTGATTGTATATTCCAACATCGTTCTTGATCTACATTCATATTTATTTTACTTCATCTGTTGTATCAATATCTGAGATATTTCATTCATATCACTTCATAGGGTAACTTGTTTGCATATAGAACTGTACCATCTCATTATTCATGATCATTCTTCAGTATTTGTGGTAGCTTTGAAGTCACTCATCCACAATCACACAAAATACTCACAATAACGCAGAAACGCTTGCTTTACACTGTAGAACGGAACTCAAAACTTCATTTGTATCACCAGGCTTAACGGTCGGCATCAATTTGCACCGTTAAATATGTTAAATAAGCAAACAACCTGTTTGTGGAGTTTTAAATTCAAGCATCTTGGAACACTGTTGGTGTTCACCGAGGGTGATAGTTTTGCAATTCAAGTAGACCCATCCATCAGCTCCTTTCAAATGTGAATCATTCAAGTTTGCGAATTTAATCAACTGCAATCTGGTTTTAAGTGTGAGTTGCATCTTCAGCAAATAGTTCTCTACATCTGTAACAGTTTGCTAGCACCGTCTAACTTAGGATGGGTGCTTAGAACTGTTTCAACTCTTCAATGAACACAGAAAAACAACATTGAGTGTCACGTTTTGTTCAGGTAGAAGCCCAATTTACTAATCCAAATAAAGGATCTTCAAATACAGTTCTCTTGTCAAAAACCTGGATGCTGAAAGATTCGAAACTGTAAACCGTGACTAGCGAGTAAAGTGCGAGTTGATTGTGGAAAAACCGAAGATCATGGCAGGCACAAAGTATGTTTGTTCCCCATCCCTGCAACTGGCGGATCATCGAAATGCGTCAGAAGATCCGCAGCAGAACGATTTCGGGAGAGAGACGGCGAGCCCTAAGTTCGCAGATTTTAGGTTATGTTAAGAAGCCCATGAGATGTGACCATAATTGAAGCCAACGAAACCTAGAGCCTGTTCTTCAACCAGAATTACCAAGGCCGCTGCCTGCTATCTGAAGGAGCCCGCGGAAACAGATCCAATACTTGTTTGCAAAAATTATACTACAACACAGGGTATCAGGAGAATAGATTGAAGGAGAAGCTGTTGGAAGGAGATGGCCTGGGATCTTCCACACAAGTAGTGAATTTCAGTGGACTAGAGTTCTACTCGCCGACTCGTCTGAAGTAATGTCCAGTCATAGCTTCCATTCATTGACAGCTTTCGTGGCAAACATTGGATAGTATTTTATCTCTACATTTTCTCCCAGAGGGAAATAACAGTAAAAAGACACTGGCAAACCTATCCTCATCAAATATTAAGAATCTGATATTCGTAGTTGCGAGGATGGTACAGTAAACAGATCATCGATCTGCGATTGATTAGAACAATGGCCGTCGGACAAAACTGGAAAGTCTGATCTGCATAATTAAGCAAATCTCCAAAGAGAAATCCCTACAAAAAAAGAACCGTCTCCGATTCTTGTCCACGCAATTTGACACACTATTAACGCCATAACTCGTTACTTCGGGTCGACGGCGCTGCGGAATTGAAGATGTGGCCACACAATCTGTACAGCGCTGACCTGTTTCGACTTCGAGCACACGAAATCCGTCACCTCCCCATACGACTGCTTGATCTTCTCCTCTAGTTGCTTGGCGTGCGGTTCCAGCGTCTGCCGCAACTCTTTCAGCCTTGCAAGTTTCGTCTTGAAGAAATCGAATCCCCAGCCGGAGCAGTCTTCAAGATCGACCTCCGGGGATCTCGACACAACATTGGGACTCCACGGTCGCAGTTGCGACGTCGCGACGCTTGGTTTCCATGCAACGCCAAGCTCTTCCGTCTCTTCAATGGTGGGTAATCTGTGGTCACACTTCGTGGTCTTCACGTATTGCCTACGCTTCCCCATTGAGAATGGCTCTTTTACTCTAGCAAATACTTCCTCCTCGATCCAAACTAACAAACCACTCACTCTGTCTCTGAAAGTGCGCTGTGAACTCACGCGCCTAGCAGCGATACGCCAAATCCCTGTTCCATGTCCACCACATTAAAATCCTCACTGAAGACTATCCTGCGGGGTCGATCAGCCTCAACCCCAGTCTGAGCCTCAGGCGATGTACGCCGCCCACACCATCACAGGCATTGACATGCAAGGCGAGCCCAGTTCAGCACAGCCCAACCCCTCCACACGGGAAAATCGAACCACTCCACCACCAAATGACGCACGCTCCGACAATCAGTTCACTGCAAGCCTACGCACCCACAAACCAGAACATTCACTGAACAATTCCCTGGTGTCCCTTCCCCTCGCCAGCCGCCCGCCTGAAGCGATCACCGGTCAGATCCAACACCAAATCAAAAATAAAAATCTAGACACCTTCTCACATCTCCTCCGAAGGATCTAACATCACTCGGGATAGTCAACAAACTCAACCGGCGACTCAGAAATACAACCTGGGGGGAAAGCCAAAGAGCGCAAGAGGAGACGAGAAGAGAGGAAGATGGAGCGATTGAGAGCCTCCAGGAGCGAACGTTAGATCGATGCCCCGGTAGATCCGCAAACGGTACGAAAGCAGCGCCTTCCTCGTATTCGTGGTGGTGGGGCATTCTCATCTGATCAATCGAATAAGTCGCGCTGGTGCCGAAGATCGTCGTTCCGGATGGTGCTCCTCCTCCTTTCAGTTCCCCCGTGAATGCCCGACATGCGCAGCAGCCCTGACCCCCTCATTTACTCGCCCCTCTCTACCGGGTCAGCAGGCTTGTCTCCCGCATTTCACGTGTTGGTTCGTCCTCATCGCCTTTTTGCTTCGATCTGGTTCTCTCCCGCTCCACTACACTTGTGGCCAGGAGTAATTATCGATCTACTTCCTTGATCGGCCGCCACTAAACTGCAGTAACTTCCACCGCTCCCACACATCTGGGGTGTGTGTGTGTCTGTGTGTGAGAGTGTGAGTGTGTGTGCGTGGTTGTTTTTTGTTTTTTTTTTTTTTTTTTTTTTTTCTCGCTGGCATGAGTAGATTTCTAGCGGCGTTGGTTACGTCCCCGACTCTGATTCGGTCCCCGACACGCGACGCGTGAGCTTGCTTGCTTGCTTGCTTGCTTGCCTTCCTTTTCTTGCTTGCTTCCGTGATGCTTTGCAGCGGCAGAGGTGGAGAGTTTGCTTTTTGCAAAAGGTTTCTGTGCAAATCTCCTACTTCTTCGTATTCTTCTTCTTCCGTGATTCCTCAGGATCCTCGACAGACCATGGTTCTGAGCTTGCAGTTCCCCATAGCCATAGTCATATCTCTCTCACTGTCTAATACTTCCCCATTTCATGAAATTGGATTCAACACTTCGTTGGTTTTGTGAACGGAAGCTTGGTGGATTTTCAACTGTTTTTTTGTGCAACGGTGCAACGAGATTTTTGCAAACTAGATGTTGAAAATACTAAATAAATAAATAAATACACAGTTGTGTGTGTGCAAAGTGGAATTTTCTTTACTACCACAGTCCAAAGACTGAAATATTGGAAAAGGAAAAACGAATTTTGTATGGTTGTGATTCTAGACGAGAGTGTTACAATTGCAACAATAAGTGTAAAAGTGTGCATTGGACTGACCCACTCATAAGAATTCACAACCCTCATCTTCTTCAAACCGTGTAAATCAATATTAAAATGTTTGTGGATAACTTTTATTTTATTTTTCCAAGGATGTCTAGAAAACGTGATTAATTTAATCATTGCATGTTGTAAAGTATTGAGAATCATGGTCAATTTGCACAAAACTTATATCATTTGAATATCTTCTAATCCTAATAATAATACATTTTGAACAAATGTCTGCAACACAATTTGAAAAATTGGTTGTTTTTCAATACATAATAGTTGAAAACCATTAATATAGATATTATATTGTATAAGTTATGGCACCCAACTTCAAAGATATGACATGTAACAAAGCAATTGTTATTGGTTAACTCATACCTTTTTTTGTCTGTAAAAACACATGGATCATTTTTATTGCACTAAGTATCTAAGTTGTAATAAAAAACTTAAAAAGGCACGGTAACAATTGATTAAAATGCAAAGGTATAATTCTCAAACAACCTAAAGTTAAAAACATACCTTTTATTATTGAAGAAACAACATGTAGACTTTGGGCAAAAGTTGAAATTATGTTTTGTAACCAAGAAAGTAACCACACAATTTAAAAAGCCTATAAAATGAAAACATACATCATGTATTTTAGAAATATATTATACTGAAACACCTTCAGTATAAAAGTAAAATTTTAATTGGACTAATCCATTCCAAATATAATTTTAAATTGTGTGTTACTGTAAATTCGAGAGTTATAGAATTGGACAATAATAAAACTTTCTTATACTACTAAAAAATATTCAAATATTTTATTTTGAATATTCAGATAGAATATTTTGTGGTAGTATACGAAAGTTTGAGATAAAATATTTTGGAGTAGTTATAAAATATAATTTTGAATAGAATATAACAGGAGAAGGGCTGTGAATTGGTCTATAATAAAATTTTCTTATACTACTACAAAATATTCAAAAATATTACAATACTACATAATATTCAAAAATATTATACTACTACAAAATATTCAAATATTCAAATATCAAAATCCGAATATACTTAAAAAGACTATATATTTAACTAAAAGTACTTAATAATCAAAATAAAAATATTTTCAAACAATGTTGAAGCAATAATATCATCAATTCCAATATGAATCAATTAAATTTTTTTGATTAAAGATAGTTGACAAGATTTGCAATTCATTAAATGTTAAATCACTATAGAAACATAATATTTTGAATTTGAAAAAATTATACTATTTTGTTCTAAAATTGTGTACATGATGCTATCAAATTTCAACTTTAACATTGTGTATTGCAATATTTTTGTTGTATTTCTAAAACATAAAAGCAAGCACTACCTATTCAACAAATTCATATACCTCACGGGTATTGAAATACTGTTGATTAGTGTCCTAACAAACCTACACCAATCTTTAATACATATTACTTATGCAAAGCCATTTGCTTTATAAAGCTTAGTAAATAGATTAAACAACAATAATAGTAATGGAATTGAAATTTTGCTCATTTAAATGTTCTTTTACAAATCTTGAGAGATTAAACAAATTCACAAGCAAAAATCCAGTAAATTTGTTACATCTTATAAGTCTGTAAGTGCTGATATAAGAAAAAATGATTTTATTAATAAGATTTTATTTTTTATTTTTTTATAGGAAGATTTAAAATAGATATAAATAAAAAACAACCCCATTTTTTGGTTTTTAATTATTAATAATATATATTTGTAGGGAAATGATAAATCTACCCAAACTTTTATTATATTGTTCCACATGCCCCATTCCCAGTTGTTCCCCTATTCCCAACCATCACCCCCATTGTTTATGCTCCTAGCCCCCCATCCCTGTTCTTAGCAATGGTTGGGAACAAGAAAAGGTTGGGAACAAGAAAAGGTTGGGAACAAGAAAAGGTTGGGAACAAGGATGGAAGCTCCAAGGGTGCAATGATGCTTAAGCTAGAATGGGTTGCTTCAGTAAAAATTTGGGTCAATTTATTATTACCCTTTATATATATATATATATATATATATATAAATAATTGAATGAATAAATAAATATTTATACATCTATACGTAATATATTTATTTCTTAAAGGGTGTTAAGGCGAATTTTAGAACTTTAAAAAATTAAACCCCAATTGATTATTTAAAAAATAAAGCATATAAAAAGTTGAGGTATTCAATCAAGTGAAATTTGAATGTCCAAATTTACTAAATATTTACTGATGTTGAGGAAATTGAACTAAATGAAACTAAACTACATATTCGTTAACCACTCATTCATTAATAGCCATTATAATCAGTACTCATTTATTCAAACTCATGTCCCAAATTTTATTTTGTTGGAAGTTACTTTTTCTTTGATTTTTTATAAATAAACTAATGTCAAAACCTTATCCACTTATTCATCCATAAATCTACCTGTGTAATCACCCATCCATCCATCCTTCCAAGACAATTCAAGAAGCCTTACTCCCTTCCTGAGGTTGATACCCGCTCCGTTATACCTGAGTAATTTTGTGCCTGCCCACCAACGTGTACAGCATTTATTTAGATATCAACCACTCCGGGCATAGATCATAATATCTAGTTGTCTACCTCTGTCATGAACTGGTACATGAGCGAGGTATGGGGCATCATCATCCTCTTCCTGTCTGCGCTGCTTGCGCTTATGTTTTAAACCTTCCGAGCTTTTGCTGTGGCGACGAGCCGCGCAGCTTGACTGCGAAGGTCTCCCTTCATCCCTTCTTCTGCGCAATCTCTCACCAAATTGTATGTGTTCTTTCCCTGTATGAATTTGAAATTTTCTCTCGTTGCTTAATGGTTACTTCAAGGTCGCATAGTTGCTTAATGAGCTGCTTAGCTTCATTTTTCTGGACCAGCTGAGAATGATGAATTATTGGCTTGACCCTCATCAACGGGGAAGAAATTAGGTGATACGAGGTTTTTGTTTAAGATGCTACGCCAATTCGGAGGGTTCAGTTTCAGTATTTTTGCAAGTAACAGCTAGATTGAGTTTATCTACTCTTCGAGGTTTAGGGTTTTGTGACGATTTTTTGGAGGTATTAGTTTGAAAACATGAAATATCAGGCGGTCTGACCGCAGAAACGTGAATGGATTTGTAGATTTTAGCGACATTCCTTGCTAGGATGAGGATTTATTTATTTATTTATTTTTTTTTTAGATTGCTATGCTATGGTATTGGCATGTCTACAATACTTATCTCTTACTTGCGTGTACCTAATGTAGGTTTGGTGCAGTTTTTAAGGGAATCCGGGATTGCCATAGGTGAATCATCTAATTGCAGAATTTACACTTCTCACTCCTCTCTCTCTCTCTCTCGTATCATTTCTATCTCCGATGCTTTTGCTGTCTCTCACGGGCGAGAATGTCACTAGAGCTAGGACTCGTGTGTAAGCGTTTAGTTCCTGTTGTTTATAAATTGCGACGAACGACGAAGTTGTAATTTATGCAGCTTTTTGGTTCGGATAAGAGCTGGCGGTGTAGTGCGAGTTTGATGTTTTGGTGGCTGCAAGTCGAATTCAGCCTGAATTGTGGCCATGGAGTCGCGGCTCTTGCACGCGGGCTGTGTGGCCTTGCCGCGACCTTGCCTTGTGGTGCCTAGTACTAGGAATGGGGTGAGTTACCAGCAAAGTCGGCAGGCATTTCGCGTTGCAGCACAGAAGTTTATGAAGAGTATGACTTCCCGACACGGGACATCTGTTCTCAGGGGGGAGAAAAGAAAGCATTCGAGGTCCGTGGGCGTCGTCGTAGCTTGCCAGAGGCCCGATCAAGGTAACGCAAATTTGAGAATTTTTCTGGCGATTCAGATGATTTTCCTTAACGTTTTGGTTTTGTAATTTCGGAGGGTTTAAGATTTTACAACGTCTCTCATGAAAATGTGTTGGAGAGTTTGTAGAGGTTGCAGAGGATGTGGAGACTGCGGAGAATGCGGGAAGAGAGTCTGCAGCTGCTGGAGTCGGCAAGCAGCTACAAGACTATGTACAGAGTTGCAAAAATTCCTTGTCGGAAAGGAGTGAGAACATTGAGGCTGAAATTACTCAAAGGCTTGGTATAAACGAGCCCTTTTCTCATTACATGAAAAAGAAAGGCAAGGAGATAAGGACTGAGATGGTGGGCACTGCGGAGTCTGTATACAGCACTGTAGTTTCGATATCTAACCAACCCGTTGTCAAACGATGTCTTATTGGATTTTTCGTATTTTATGCCTTCTCTATGTTGTGGGCTGCACGTATTTTGATGTCCAACAAGAAGTCCGAAGAGGCAATAGATCAGTCCGGAAGGGAACCGCGGCTTCAGAAGCTGAGAGTAGGAGCTCGAGGTTCTGTGAATGTGACAGCACCACTCGAGCACGCAGAGACGAATTTGAACGGTAGGACAGTAACGTCAGTCAACGATGAGGAATTTCAGCTTAAGGTGCGAAAAATCCAGGAAATGGCCCGGGCGGTTCGAATTGCGGAACAGGGAGTATTTTCTCCTTCCGAAAGTGCATTTGTAACGATTTCTGGTAAGAGATCGGATCTGGGGTCGGAGCAGCAGCAGCAGCAGTCAATTCTTACCAACAAGGAAGATTTACAGAAGGAGAATAGTCAGGAAGAAAAGCTCGTGGGTGACGATGCAGGCAAAGAGCAAGCCAAATTCGCAGAGAAACGAGAACCCCACCTTAACCTTAAACCACAGGAGGGACCATTCTCAACTCAGACTTCAATAACTGGAGTTGAAGATAATAAGAATTTCGGAGTTTCAGAGGCTTTGCAAAGCAAGGTTGCAAGCGAGGACGTTGCGAAGAATGGTAGTGCGAAGAACCCGCTCAAGGGTGACATAAATTCAAGTGTTGTCTCTAAATCTTCGCAGTCAAATAGCACTGGTAGGCTTCACCCCTCCACCCGGAATGACTTAGCAGATATTTCTATTGATGGGTCACCGACATCATCAATCTCGGGCGCGACGAAGCTGCCTGGTAATGACAATGCAACGCCTAATCTTAACGGTGCGGCAAGAGAAATGCCGCCAGTTGGCATTCAACCGCAGAAGTTTAAATCCATGCGTGTGATTACGTCTCCGGAGGAAGCCCGAGCTAGAATTGCTGCTAGAAAGGCCAAGGATGGAAGTATTGCTGCCAAGGGAATCTCTGCAAGCTCAACAAGGCCTAAGTTTCCGAAGATCAAGACTCCTGCAGTAGTGTCGGGAGAAGGCGATTTACGGACCGATTCCAAATCCAAGGACAAGGGATCGCAAAGTAGTGGCCCAACGGATGGGAACAGAGGAAGTTTGAAGTCCTCGCTGTCGCAGGAAGAGAGTCCGAACCCAAAGTCAGAGGAGCAGCAGGAAGAAGAGGGGTGGATGCGTGATGAAGTGTTGCGACGTATTGTGCTGAAAGTCCGTGATAACGAAGAGGCTGGTCGCGACAGCTTCCATGGTCTGAACTCAGAGGAGGAGCAACTGTTCTTCAAAGGGCTCGAGCGCAAATTTGAGCGTGAAGGAGAAGCGGTTAAGACGTGGATCCAGGATCGTGTGGAGAATCTGGATTATGGGATTGGCGGTGTGGGACTTGATGACCCACCCGAAACGTTTGTGCCTAGATGGAAAGATCAGGAAAATGCTGATACCAAAAAGTTCGAAAAATTTCAAGAAGACCGCAAACGGATTCTTCAGCAGCAAATGGGCATCTCAACACCTTCTCCTCCCTCCTCTCCTTCGTCCTCTAGCCCATCTTCTGCTTCGGAACCTCCTGAAGTTGCCCCCACCATCTCTGCATCAAAACCTTCGTCATCTTCCGCAGATTCTGTTGCCAAGACGAGCACAAAAGAGACTTCTACCACAGTCGTATCAAGGGAGAGGCTGCAGTCGAATGGGAATGCTTCAGGCAGCAAGACCATTGTGACGAGTACGGGCAAACAACCCAAATCTACCTCGCGTGAATGGCAACATACGAAGAAGTGGGCTCAAGAGCTTCAAAAAAAGTACGATCTAGAGACTGATCCAGAGCAGCGTGCATTAATGGAAGAAGTTGGCCAGGACCTAGACAGATGGATTACAGAGGATGAGATAGAAGAGGCGACTAGATTGTTGTCGAAAGGGGTAGCAGGGGAGCAAGAGTATGTTAAGATGCATTATGAGAAGACGAGGGAGAAGATTAAAAAGCAACATGAGATGTTTGGATCAGAGGGAATGCTCAACAAGTACGGGGAGTATAAGGAAACGAAGAAGGAGGTTGAGTTGTGGTGGTTGGATCTACCTTATGTCCTGTGCATTGGGCTCACGCAATCAGATTCTTCTGATGGTGGTGAGCCCAGGCAAGGTTTCTATTCGTTAGATATGACTCCAGATTTTTCAGGGATTGTGGGTCAGGGCAAACTAGAGCGGACGTATAATCACACCATAGCCTTTCAAGATCCTAAAGATGCTTCCAATTTTTGTGGATTGTTGCTCTCGGAGCGGTACATGGCAGATGTGATCCCCATTCTTCCGAAGGACCTTTACCAGGATGTCAAGCAGGAGGGGTTTAAGGTTACCGTGATTAAGAAGGGACAGCTGGGACTTAAGCCTGGACAAGCCTTGGAAGATGTGGAGCAGCGATTGATAGCAATTGGTAGCTCTGTGTACTGGGAGGAACTTGAACGGGCGCGCTCCATTGACATGGATGCAGTTCTTGATGAAGGCTTGGGGTATGGTAGGCCATCGCGTTAGTTTTGCTGGTTTGATTAAGAGTAGGTCAAGTTGAGTTCTCTTGTAATTTTGAAAAGTGACAACAGCACATGTCCAAATCATGGAAGTTTCCTCGGTGCCCTTATTTCTGAGCACTTTCCTTGACCTATCTATGATCGAAAGTGCTGATTTATTTTTATTTGATTTTTCTTAATTTTGTACCCCTTGATGATTCCACATCCTTGGTTAGAATCTTGTAATGTGAAGTCTGCTTCCAAAATTAGCTGGAGGGGGTAATAGAATCTTCAGTGGGTATAAAGTCTAGTCCAGAATTGTTATTTTCACCACTTCATTCTTGGCTACTCGTTGCTTGGAAACCAACGGTGCGACGAACCATGGATGTAAAGCACACATAGTTGAAACCAATGTGGCGACTATCAGTTTAACAGCCAGAGTTGAGTCAGATTTATAATGTCACGTTATGTTTGTGTTTGGGCAACAGCATGAATAAGATTTCAACATCCACTCTGCACGAATGCCTTTTAACATTGTTCAATACCTGAACAGGGATGCCTTTCAAACCTGAATCCTGTCACCTTTGCGAAAGCAAGTGTTCATTAAATCTATGGTTTATCTTCTGTTCCTCCATTCCTCGAGTGCGTCGAGTTTTCTGCTGATCCCAACTTGGAGAATTCACCACCTCGTCAATGACGCTACGACAAGTCGGTGAGAAATGATCGGAAGCATTGGAGCAAGGGTACTACTGATGGGTTCAGTGCAAGAAGCTTACAGTACGAATGCAAGCTATGGCCTCCGCATAAAGGCCCGGAGTTCAATGCTCTCAGGTAGATGCCGAGACAGATGCATCAAGCTCTCAGTTGAGTCACCAGAGAAGTACACCGAATTGACAACGCCCGAATGCAGCTACCCGGATCACGTAATGTCTTCTGGTGTCAGATCTCAATTCAACGTCCGGGTCGATGAATAAAAGCGGATATTGTGATCAGATTGGCCCCAGGTCTGATAACAAGGTCTGTCGCCGAAGGGCGGAAGAGCCCAGGATGCGTCGACTCGCAACTGTGCTTCGTGCGATTGTCCTACGCTGCCATGTGGATTTAGCCCTCGCTCATCTCCACGCTCGATTAGTCACGCCTTCAATCCACTTGGGCTTTGCTTTGCACCGAGAACAACACCCATTTGAGCAAAATTGTCTCTTGTGGGATTGCGCAGGTGGATAGGTGGAGTTCATTCATGGGCTCGGCAATGGGCGTCGACAGGAGATCGACGGTGATTGCAAGCATTGCATTGGATTTCTATGGTTTTGGTTTGCGCTGCTTGGAGGCGAAGGCTGAGAGTAATCTGCGCAAAGGCTTTTGATTGTGTATCTCTCCATGTCGAATTCCGCGTCGTGGCGTGTGTGAGGTTCTCGGCAGTGGACGCTTTCGATTGCCGTTGCTTTGTGACGTGGCGGTTTTTATTTCAAACGATTGTCGCGAGGTAGTTATGGCCAATGGCCGGGGCTGTTTCTTCTTGGTATCGAGAGGAGTGCAAGGTCTGTGATTGCAGTTCACGTTGCCAAGGTTTTTAGTTTTGTGGTTTGCCATGCGCTTACAAAATTGCTGAATTCCAGCAGCACTTGCCTTCAGTTATGTGAGCTGCATGCATCGAAACCTAGTCCGTTGGGTATCTTCGCATTGATAGTGGCTTTGTCTGCGCTTTGTTAGCAGATATGTTACAAGGAATTTCTTCTCGTTTGGAAATCCACGACAACTTTGAATTGTCTTCTGTTCTTTTCTTTTCTATTCTTTTCTTCTCCCATTGGTATTTCTATGTTTCCAATTTCTGAACAAGGAAACATCGAGTGAACACTTGCTGTTATTAACTTTGCTTTCAGGAAAATCGAGCACGCTGGAGAATTGTGTTTCGTAACATATATGATCAAGCACAGCGGCATTGAGGAAAGCTGCTGCTAGCTCCATCCTAATGAAGGGTGGGCTGACAAACCCCCTCTATCGTCCCGTTCAATCAGAACGAGTTAGTATCAACTCTCTCACTGCACCTTCGGCCGCCTGTTATTACATGTCTTCTATCCGTCTACCGACATCGTTACAATTGTTGGCCCTTAAGCAAGCATCCTCAGGCAGTCAATTTTCTCGACCCTTTGCAAGTTCAAAGGGTTTCCCTCAGAAATTCAGCTACAGAAAAAGCCTTTTGCAGGGTGATGGCGCAGCTCTACGAGGGAGGTGGTTGAAGAGACTGGACACGGGTTTGTTCAAACGAAGGATTGTTTGTAGTTCGGAGCGTCCACTCTCAAATGAATCGCCAATCGCAGTTACGAGGTACGTTCTCTATACTAGTAGTGAATTTTGCATGCGTAATCCTCCCCAAGTCGAAGGAAATAGTAACAGATACCATATTCGAACGTGGAGAGATTCATGTTTGAATTCTTCCCATGCAGCACACCTACATGTTAACAAGAATTCAAACTGCATTGTTAAGAAATAGATATCAATAATAAAATATCCCTGTTTGTGCTCAAAAATTTCGTGTGCCAGTTTTTTTAATCGATGAAGCTTATATTCCTGTTTAAATATAGGATTGTATTCCTGTATCTTCCTTGCTTGTGATGTCATGAAAAGGTAAATCACTTCTTGTTGTTGAAGTTACGAGAAAATCGGTGTTCTCACACGTTGGTTGTTTCAAGAACATTGAACAACAGGCCCCGCCTAACTTGCTAATTTTAAATTCCTGCTCTGGTAGTGGCACCCAGATGGAAGAGAATGACAGTGGGAGGAGTGAAACCTTCATGCTTGATGATGCCATTGAGCAGGTTGGCTTTGGGAAATACCAACGATGGCTGCTGGCTTATGCTGGCATGTCATGGACAGCGGAAGCAATGGAAATGATGCTGCTTTCATTTGTAGGTCCTGCAGTGCAAGTTGAATGGCAACTGACTGGACGGGAAGAGAGCTTAATCGCCAGTGTAGTCTTCGGAGGCATGATGATTGGAGCGTACTCTTGGGGTGCCCTTTCTGATGCAAAGGGTCGACGGTAATCTTATTGATTGACCGCTGCTAATTCAAGTATTCATTATCAAATCAACCGTTTAAAAGCGTGAAGCGATCGATATGAATTGTGAAGATCTGATGTAATTTACTCTATTTCATCACCTAATAATGGCCATTCTGTTTTTGTCCTCTTCACAGGGTTGGGTTTTTTGCAACCGCAGTTTTGACTTTCGCCGCTGGCCTGTTGAGTGCAATATCTCCGAATTATGGTGTTCTTATACTACTTCGGGGGTTGGTTGGGGTTGGCCTCGGTGGGGGTCCTGTTGTCTCTGCCTGGTTCATGGAGTTCGTGCCATCTGCCAATCGAGGACTCTGGATGGTCGTCATCTCCTTGTTCTGGACACTTGGTTCGATTTTAGAGGCATCACTAGCGTGGGTGGGTTCCTCTTCTCCAGTCTAACATCTACCCCCCACTTCCATAACGAATTTCAAGTATTAGTCGTTGCTCTTGTTTGTGTGACGTTTTGTGAAGCGTGACTTTCATCTTCAAGTAACAGCTGGGATGTTGTGGTGGCTTTATCAACCCCACACTCATTTATCGATATTTAGCGTCATCAAGTGTGGTCGTGAAGTAAATACTACACTCGGGTAGTGCTGAATTGCTTCTGTGGATGCAGTTGGTGATGCCAACTTTGGGCTGGAGGTGGCTTCTAGGCCTTTCATCGGTGCCCCTTGCGATCTTGCTCCTATTTTATTCTGTAGTCCCCGAAAGTCCTCGCTACTTGGCTTCCAAAGGGGAGACTGAGAAAGCCTTCAAGATTCTTCAGCAGATGGCGAAGGTTAACTGTAAGCCACTGCCAAAAGGGAGATTAGTGCAAGCACAGCCGTTGCTTGGAGACCCTGATAGCATAAATACATCAGCTTCTGCGGTGAATGTAGAAATGAGTGATTTCGCCCTCACAAGAGCTGTGGACGAGACTCGTCTTTTGGATCGCACTGGCAATAACGGAAATCTAGATGTTGCGAAGAAGACCACCACCTCAAGTCTAGAACAAGTATTGTCAAATTTCCGCTCCCTCCTGTCGCCACCACTGCTCTCATCCACACTTCTTCTTTGGTCTGTTTTCTTCGCCAATGCATTTACGTACTACGGGCTCGTGTTGCTAACTTCCCAATTAAGCGGTGGAGGTACCGATTGCAGGCCCGAGGAAGCTGCTAATACAATCTCAGCAGCATCAGACAGCGGCCAGTTGTATCGGAATGTTTTTATCTCCAGCATTGGAGGTGGGTCTTCCGTTGGTTACCGACTTGTAGTTGACACTAGGATCATACTTTTTCTGTCTTCACCACAAAGATTCGTTGTTGTTGTTGCCAATGTTATTGGTGTAAAGCATTATGCAATGAAGCTAAAAAAATTAGGAGCACGTTACCAGTTAGGCCTATTTTCGAGCAGGTTTTGTCTAGTGAGTCAGGACTTCTGGTCGTAAACTGATACCGTTGCTTCAGCGCTTAGTATCGTGATTATTTGAGACCTGCTGTCCTGGATCCAGAATTGGCCCCAAATCTTTTAAATTGGCCAAGTCTTAGATTTACATCTTCTAATTTTTCTATTCTCGTTCCTGCTAAACCCTGACTTGGCCGGTTGTAGATCCAGAACTCATTCAGACGAATCGGGTGCTGGCAACACAATCCTCCAACTGACCAAAACACTGTCCTAGAGAAAATGTTGAAATCTTGTTCTGAGTGGGAGATTAAAACCACTCTCTAGGATGAATTGTGGAGATTAAGCTGGGAAGCGTAGTTCTTTTTAGCTGTCAGGGGGTTGCTTAGACCTCAGCTTTGCTACTCGACTAACTAATGCACTATGGTTTTCTAAATGACAGAGCTTCCAGGGCTGGCAGTGGCTGCATACATTGTCGACAGATGGGGCAGGAAGCTCTCCATGGCAACACTGTTCACACTGTGTGGTGCTTCCCTTTTGCCTTTAGTTCACAACCAACCAGCAGATCTCACCACCTTTCTTCTCTTTGGTGCTCGTGCTTGCATCATGGGCGCGTTCACCGTCCTCTACATTTACGCTCCTGAGGTAATTCCACCCGCCCGACTCTTTCCCTTAACGACCAAAGGCTCCCTTCAATCTGTCTCTGAAGAATACACCATCTGCTTTCTAATCCATGTTACACAGTACCGTTTCTGTCAAAACCGTCATGTAGTCCGTCTTCCTACAGCTGATGTTGTATAGCCACCGAGGACATATCCCTCGGTTTTGGTCTTATCAAAGCTTCCATCATCTGGGTGTTGGCTATAGTTTTATTTCATCTCTCATAACTTTAACCTGTCTTTCCTCCACGCAGGTGTACCCAACCAGCAACCGTTCTACGGGACTTGGTATAGCAAATGCAATTGCGAGGGTAGGAGGCCTGCTGTGCCCAGTGGTAGCAGTGGAACTGGTTCGAAGCTGTCAACAAGGACTCGCAGTCTCCCTCTTCACAGCAGTGCCGGTGCTTGCAGCAGCGGCGGTCATGCTCTTCCCTGTGGAGACACAAGGAAAGTCTCTGACTGATGTGGTCGATGAATCTTCCTCCCAGTAGTAGCAGCAGCTGCCATTGCAATTGCTTCGCTGCTTTTGAGACACAGATCTTGTCATGATCTGCGTGTCTCGGTGGGGTTGCTCTGAGAATACTCCATCACCTGGGCGTCAGTTTCTTCGATGTGGGGTGCCAACCACCGGCAATGTCATGCAACATGTGCTTCATCCCACCAAACGATCAAGGCTCTTGGTGAGGAAGCAAACTCTGAAGGCTGTGGCTTTACTGGAGGAGGCTCTGACTTGATGAGGGAGATGCTTGAGTTAGCCTGAAGTTTCTGTGTCTATTTTTATTTTATATTAAATCCATGTGTTTTTTTTTTTTTTTCGTCATATTGTTTTAGTTTTTGTAGTTGAATCTTTGCACAGTCTATTATCAAAGGAAACTGTTATGGTGGTGCTGTATGAAGTCTCTGGAGTATTCTAGTGCATTGCTAGTTTTTTTTTTTTTTTTTTTTTTTTTTTTTCCCCATTCAGAATTGTTGTCTGCTTGTAGTTGGAGCATTTGTTTTGCATTTTAAAATACCAAGTAACCTTAAAAAAAATTAGTTGTCATCACGGATGTGGGGGGCACTAAAGTAGTAATTAATTTTGGTGGACATGAGTGCACATGATGGCATCTCAACGACTTTGAGTTTTGATATGCTACATAACAGATGAATGAACAAAATACAACATAGTAAATTTAATTAGCACTTTGAAAACAACGGCCTAACTTAAAAAACACACACAAAAGAAGTAATAATGAGAAAACGTTTATATATATATATATATATATATATTACAGAATTATTAGTTGCCAATCAATTTTTAAAACCTTATTGTTCATCATACAACATTCATTCAGTTTGATTTGAACAAAAACAAATTTAGCAACCTTTTTTTTTTTTTTTTTTTTTTTTTTGTTTGCAAATAAATATTATTATACTTATTGAGTTGATGTACGCTGTGTAGATCTTAAAATTTTGAAATATGGAATAAATTGTAGCTAATGTAGTGAGAAAACAAAACCATGCCAAATATTTCAGATAAGATTAATTGAAAGAAAAAACATAAAATTCATGAAATATCAGAATTCATATTAGTGAATCCAAGTAATTACCTATGAACCACCAAAATGCACATTTTGCATGTACAACACTTAAACATGGTGTCTTTAGTTGTATATAAAATAAGCTAAATATTAATTTAATTGATTTCAAAACTTTTTTTTATTCTATATATATATATATATATGAATTTTAATTTTGTGTTCCCAATTTGCAACTTTGATTGAAATATGAAAGTTTAAACACACACACATACACTTCTTGTTTTGGATATATAATTTGAGAGAGAGATGGAGGAATGTTAAAAAACTGTAACCAAATTGACCCATCCATGCAAACCATTATGAAAAAGAAAAAGAAAAAATGACATCTAGATTCATTTCTCCACAATTGGATCTGCAAATAATAAAAACCAACCACATTCATCCTGATTACCATATTCTTCATCAAGGGTGGGTCAATTTAGTAAAAGTGTGTATCTATTTAACATTCCCTTTTGTGTGTGTGTGTGTGTGTGTGTGTGTGTATATATATATATATATATATATATATAAATGTGTGGGTTTTATAAAAGGATGTAGTATAAAATCAAATTTAAAATCACAGGAAATATTTAGAATGAATATACCTAAAAAAATTTCATATCAAACTTTCGTCGTAAAGGTGTGTCAAATATCACACGTTCTCGTTGACAAAGGCTTTCCATAGATCTCGGCTAATGTTGCATAAAGCAAAAGTAAGTTCTTAAAAGTAGTGTAATATGAATCTTTCGAATTTTACCTTTAAAGAAGAATGACGTGGAACCTGACGAAACGCAGCACAGGACATCCCTTGCTCATGTTCTACGGAGGTGTTCTGGGTGGATGAACGTCTCTTTGGACACACGAAATGCCGTCCAGATTTCCGCCCAAACCCTTCATCCATGCCCGATCCAACCCTGGGCGGCTGGCCCCTGGTCAAGCTCAGGTGGAACCTCGATTTTGAATCTCAGTTTCTAAATCCATACTTTTACCAACTTTCAAGTGCGTTGTCAACAGCAGGGCGCACTTAACAGTAAGGGGAAATATTTCAACTCCAAATATCCGGTTCGATCCACTCCAAAACACCCTCTCCAGATACAATTCACAGGGCAAAATCCCATTTCAGTACCTACGGCAAACACCGTAACTCTTCAGTATCAAATCCCTCGTCGTATGGCGGAGCTCGCAAGCACCATGCTAATACAGCTCATCCCCAGAGCAAGGAATCTACCAAAATAACTCCTTACGGGATTCGAACTCGCGATGGAGTGCCCGTGATCATCCCACATCGGCCGCGTGTGTACAGTTATGGTAATTTAAGTCGCAGTGTCTTTAATTTTCTTTCCCTGCATTTTGTATGGATGGAGACCCCTGAGAACGGGCCCCCGGGACCCGCCCTCTCTGGCTGGCACTGGCTCTGTCTCTCTCTCCCTCGCGCTGCAGAGAGTGGGAGAGTAGGAGGGAGCATCCTCTTGGTTTGCTTCTCCGTTTTGCTTGTTCACGGCCCCCGTCTTGTCTCTCCGCCTTCATCCTCTCCCCGGATACCTCGCCTCCACGAGGCGGAAGCGCTCGCCACGCCATTGTCCTTGTTGTGTTTTTCTGTTGCATCGCTAACTAATCCACCTCCCTTCCTCGTCACAGCCCAGTCTGTTCCTTTCGCCTCCCCCTCTCCCGCCGCATCTGGGAGCCTCTGGTCGAGTCGTTTGAAGTTGTAACTGCTGCGAGTAGAGCGGTGCCGCGGAGGTGATCATCCCCTTCTTCCCACTTTGGTTTTTGTGCGCAGATTGATTCAACTTCCTCTCCCGACGTATCGTGGCGGTGATGAAGGTTGCCGAGTTTGAGATGTGTGCTGCCTCCGTCTTTACGGGTTGGTTTTGTGTGTTTTGAGGGCCTTTTGAAGCCACCCCCTCCCTTTTTAGTGGAGAGAGTGTTGTCGTTGGCATGCAGCTCTGTAAGAGTCTGTGCGGGGCTGTTCGTTTGTGTTTTCGGGTGTTTTGATGCCTTGACGGTTTGGCTGTGTTGCTGGTGTGTGTGTAAAGGAGTCTAAAGAGCATCACGGTTATCGATCTTTCCCTTTGGTTGCAGTGAGACAGGTGTTGTGTGTATCACCGCATCGTGATCGACGGTGGATTGACGTGCTTGACCTTTTTTTCTTTCGTTTTGTCTCTTGGTGGCTGTCGGTCGTGTGATCGATGCGCGCCTGTTGATGTGTTTTTGGTGTGTATGGTGATGTCGCTCTTCTTCTTTACTTCCTCGTTTTTTTCTTTTTTTCCACTTTTTTGGGGGAGTTATGGCTGTGGCAGGTATTACTTCCCTGTATATGCTGGTGGACGTGATTGAGGGAGATTTTAGGTTGCTGACATCGTTAAAGCCACAGTCTATACTGACGCAAAGTGATCAGAATGTTTGCAAGTCACTCATAGAAGAGCACGACAAAGAGATGGTTTTTTGAAGCAAAACATTCGCGTTAGACGGTGTTCGCTGGTCAACTTAGCAGTTCTTTCTTTTCTGGTCACCCTTTTCGAATGGTTGTTTCATTCTAATTGCGGTTATTTTGACGCATGATTAACAAAGCACTTGTCATCCTTCTGCAGATTGTTGGGCTAGTCGTAAGAGAGAAGGAGAGGGACAAAGAGAGAGCGAGCCATTTGTTATGGCTGAGGCGGAGGAATTCCGTTGTTTCGTTGGTGGTTTGTCGTGGAATACCACGGACAAGGGGCTAGAAGAAGAGTTCCGGCACTTCGGCAACGTCCTTGAGGCCAAGGTTATCATCCACTACCTCGTGTGTTTTTGGTTGCCAGCAACACGAGTCGTAATAGGTGTCTCTCCTTCTTGTCTGATTGATTGATTTTTAGCTTCAGGCTGTCGCGTGCATATAATTGCGGCCATTGTCCTTCGCAGTTTACTCCGGTTTTCAGTTTGTTTTGGTGCTCGTTTGCAGGTTATTGTTGATAAAGAAACGGGTCATTCTCGAGGCTTCGGGTTTGTTAACTTTGGAGATGAGCGCTCCATGGAGGAGGCCATTGAACGGTTGCACGGCAAAGAACTTGACGGTCGTCCCATTACTGTGAACCGTGCAAAGCCTAAAGGTAGGGACGGTGGAGGTGACCGTGGATATGGTGGTGGTGGAGGTGGTGGTAGAGGCGGAGGCGGTGGTGGTGGTGGTGGAGGAGGAGGTGATTGTTTCAAGTGTGGACAGCCTGGCCATTGGGCACGCGAATGCCCATCTAGTGGAGGTGATCGCGGTGCGGGTGGCCGGTACTCTGGTCGCGATCGCTACGATAGTGGAAGGTTAGCAGCACCCTTATATGTGTGTATGTTGCGTTAGTTTAATCTTTGAATTCACGGTGTCAAATGTGCTCATGCTGAATCTATTTCAGAACATTGCATTTTCTTCTACAACAGGATTTTTCTTTCTCTGACCGTGTTTTATTTTCTCATATAAATACCTTGTATCTTATTGTGTCTGTTGTGTGCGTGTGTGCGTGTTTCAGCGATCGGTATGGTGGAGGTGATCGTTATGGTAGCGGTGGAGGTGGTGGCCGTTATGGCGGTGGTCGTGGAAGTGATCGTTACGGTGACCGCTCCGGGGGACCTGACCGTAAGAATGGGGGACCTTATAACAGGGAGAGTCGTTCAGAATACGGTCGTGACAGGGACAGCAACCGGGGCAGTGACCGTTATGCAGGTGGTGACCGATATGCAGGTGGTGGTGGTGGTGGAGGTGCTTCACGTTACGAGGGTAGTACTAGAGATCGTTCAGGACCCTATGACCGGCCTAGTGGTGGATCCCGAGGCCACGATGATCGTTATTGAGGAGAGACTATTATGCTGAAGATGATACCCCGCTGAATGGACCACATTTTATTTCAGCGGAAACGAAGAAGTCCTTTGGGTTTGACTGCAACCGGCTATACATAGAGGTTGAAGGTTTACTTTTGCGAGTGCTAGTTATGGGAGGAAGTATGCTGTATTTCTGACTGTTCTTTTGGTGCGAGTTGAGAAACCAGAACCAGGCAAAGTGATGAGGAGGATTGGTTTGACTTGTTGAGCTTGTGGTAGAGATTGGGAGTCACCAATGGCGGAAAACATTACCAGTTACATTCAGCGTTTTTTTTTGCACGGATGTGCCGATTGACCTGGATGCCTGTTCATCTGAGATTTCTTATTCAATATCCCGCAAAGTTTCAAGTTCTCATTGGCAGTGTGCTCCGTCTGCATCTGGTCCCAGCTCCCTGTGATTGGTTCTGCAGCAATTCATTATCTCTGATATACCTGGTTTTTTCCTGTGGTCATGGAGAGTATTGACGGCCGCTGGGCACTAGGGCAGTGTAAGTTGGATGGCGGATATACATTGTGGGGAGAATATAGAGCCCCATTCTGACAAAGAGGAAGTAAGAGGCTGGGTTCTGTTCTACATCTCTGGCCTTCGTATGTGATGGAAGGTATACGTAACGCGGGTGAAAGCTGTCCTCTCGTTCTCTTACAAGTCATTTTTGCTAGTGTTTCAATACCTCCAAGGTTTGGAAATGGGATTCTCTGTCTGGCAGCTGTTATTGACCACAAATCCTTTTGCCACTTGGAACTGGATTGTTGGTTCTGATTGATTGTTTGCAGGGGAGGAAGGTCAGTATTTCCTTACCTTTGTGTAATCAATCTTTTCTTAAATCATGAGAGGTATTCATTTTGGTTAGACATGCTTCGTGCTTATGTAGTTCAAGATTTTTTTCATTTTATTAGTTTATCTTTCTCTTTACTGAGGTTGTTGCGGGTTGGTTGGAGCCTACAGGGGATGCAACACACTGGGTCACCCTTTGTAGCATCCGTTCCTGAAGGAGTTCCACAGTTTTGTTGACGCCGGGTTAGTGATTTGGTCTAAGGCCGCGTAAGTGTTTGGGGCATCAGTGTTGGGCAGCATGGAGACTAGTGGTTGTATCGCGGAGAAATGACCAGGATTTTATAGAAGGTGTCATCATCTAAGAGAGGCGTGTGTTCGTACTGTTTGGATGTTGGACCCATACTTGCGACAAGTCTACAACTGTCAAAAGCGCAGTTCGTATGCGTTCCTTAATCTGGTGAACTTCCGTTCAGTCTATCGATGAATGGAGGTGTCACCAATGCTGCTGAGCGCATAATTAGCCAAGGATACAAAGGTGTACATCCTGAAGCTGGCCATTCCATTGTTGACTTCGCGACATGTTCTGTCCAGCGTTCAGTTGTTACCCGTCCATACCCGCTCACTGGTCTGGTGATCTTGGGCTCAGTTGTTCCACACACGGAGGTGTCACCTGTACTGCGATCCGTTTAAGTAGCCAAGGATTGCAAAAGACTTCCTCAAGAATTCGGCCGCTTTGTTGTGTATTTTCGACTTAATCTGGAGTTGAGCTTTCGGCAGAATCGGAGCTTCTCATCTTATTGATTCTGAAGCAGTTCACAATCCTAGGCAATCTGGTTGCATGTGCATTGTTGGAATCCATCGTGTTTGGAATTGGGAGATTTTTGCTTCTTGGGAGTTGGAGATGAAGTAATAAGTGTTATGAACTGACGACGTGGCCTCACCACCGGACTGGGTGTTATGCACACTTGAGAAGCTACAAGTGCCTTGGGATGATCACATGTTTACAGTTTGTAACGAGATGGAGTCGCAGTTAGCCTGACAACTGAATAATCATCTCTGAATGAAAGCTGCTCTGAAGGAGATTGTTGTTGAGGTTGCTGAGTTTTTAATAACGATAAGTCCTGCATCAGCATCAGCATAAACCGTATGACATGGTGAGGGAGGGTAGTATTTCTTTCAGCCACGCTGCTCTGAAGCGTTACAAATTGCTTTGCTGCTTCTGGTTCTATCTATTACTGACAACTTCTGTTGTGTCTTGAGTTGTGTATTTTCTATGCCGTACCTTTCTATTGCCATCTGTGGTGCCGTGCAGGTTTCATTACGTTTGGGATTCTAAAGAACATAATGGAGCGGGAAGGAAGTTCGAGTTCGAATTCATGACAAGGTTCAATGCAAGTCTCATTCTTTTGGACTTGAAATGAGGATGAACATTTAATTTTGGCTTCAAGTCATAGTTCTACAGTTGTAGTGGGAGATTTCCAGGAGTGTTTAACTGTGGAAGTTGGATTCTAGTATTAGACTTCACCAGTGGTTTTTATTTCAAAGTACGGAAATATTGTACCGCTTATCTGTTTTGTTCAAGTTTCAGGCCATGTAATGTAGCGAAGTTTCAATGATGATCGAGCCGAACTCAAAAGTCTCTCTATTGTGTAAAATGAATGGAGCAATACTGATATTCCTCAATTTGTTGTTTCTGAAACTCATATTCTCTCAATTCGTTGTAGAGTATGAATTTGAACTACTACACTCAACGCATCCCCTAGGCCTTAGGTTGTCCCTTCAGCCCGATATTTCACTATGACACTACATCCGACTATTTGGTTATATGCTTGGAAGTTCAAGTAAATATGAAGTCATTGATCTGCTTGCAAAATAGATCAATTTAAGGTCAAGTAGGTGCATACTTCAGTTGTTTAATCTAACTTACACCTAATTATTTCAGTAATTTTTAAATGGTTTCGATGACGTGCCAGACTTTCACAGTTTTCAATTGTTACGTAACAATGTTACTGATTAAAACTTCTTACTTGGGTCTATTAGTATTAAAGCACAAAACTGAATGGTCGCCTGTAATCTTTGTTGGATGTTTTCTACAAGTAAAGTAGAAAAACCCCACCTAGTCCAACCATTAGTAGTTGTGCATAAGAATCCTCGGAATTAGCAAATAAATGTTGAGATCATCGTACCAATGTCTTGAAAGTGTCTGATGCTACACCCATGCCATAGGGCTTTTTGCAATATATTATACCCATCTGTACAATATATGTAAGAATCAACATCATGTATTTTGTTGCAACTCCTCCTTTTTCTTCTTTTTGGTAGTATCTTCTAAAATTATGTATATTTTGGATGTGTGCTTTGTATTTTGTTGTAATCCCTCCTCCCTTTACTTCTTTTTTGTATTTTCTTCAAATGTTGTGCACATTTTGCACTTACACCTTTTATTCTAAAAGAATATGCAACCAACTAAATATTTTATTTTAATTTTAAAACCATATTATCTTTTAAATGATTTAATTTTCAAGATTAAAAATCTTACAGAAGGTTTATTAAAGATTTCATTATAATCGATTACACAATCAATGCTTTGTGTGTTATTCTCGTGTTATCAAGTAATTTACTATCCTTTTGTCATATGTCTCAATCCCAAGAATAACTACCTATATACTCTTTCTATGTATATGGCTCAAATTCTAAAATTTAGTAAAAGAACCTTAAAAGATACAAATTAGGAGGCATCAGGGATGCAAAGATAAAGACCTAAGAAATTAAGAAATAAAAGAAGAATTAATCATTAAAAGATATAAATTAGGAGGCACCAAAGATGCAAAGTTAAAGAAGAATTAATCATTAGATTAGAAAGTAGATTAGATATAAGATTGAGAACTAGACAACAATTAGATTGCACTTATTCTTGATACCCACAATTGCAAAGATGGGCTTGGCTAAAAACTACCTTCTCTATCATAGACACATAAATAGATGTTTTGTGCTCCTCAAGATCAATTGTTATGTTATGTTATTTTATCCTTTTTATGTTATGTTTTTACAACTATGTCCATCGTAGAGTTCCAATCCAAAGGGATAGAACCATGAGGTATGCTAAAAATAAAATAAATGTACGTAGCAAACAATTTTGAATAGTTGCAAGATAAGTAAATGATTGAATGAGTACATAAATAGGCGAAAGGCCCTTGGAATTGATGCACACCCATTCAGGTACTACTACCTTTAATATTTAAGATACACACACATAAACACACACACACACACACATATATATATATATATATATATATAGTGATAATTTATATTATTTGTTTATTTTTAATATCAAATTATTTGTTAGTGTATCAGTTAATGTCTTAAATTACTCTTAATTATCTTTTAATAGAAAATCCATTATTTTATTGATCTTAGATAATTAGTTTGGAAGGTCTTTTTGTTGCTGGTTGCACAAGTTAAAAATAATTGCGATTTTAATAAATATTGCTTAGATTTGGTGCATTTCAAATTAAATAGCATAGTTTGAGTATTACTTTTCTACTAAATAAATTGGTAATTTTTTTTTTATTATTTTAACTTTAAATTACAAGGTTAATTTACCAAAGTAAAGCAAGAATCAATCCCTTTTTTCAAATTTCCAAAAAAGATTAAAAAAAAGTAAAGAAACCCAGAATCACGATACTTGATGTCACACATTATCATTCAACAAACCATAATATTTAAAAAATGATATAATAATCATCCTTCTTATTAAATATTTAACAGCAGGAAGTAAAATTTGCACACACTCAAATAATTTCAGCTTAAATTTTATTTATAAATAACCAATGAAAAAACAAATAAATAGAGCATATAACAGTTCACACCCAAGACGCCAATTTTATTCTTGTAAAATGATAGGGGGTCATGACATGTTATTATTTTCCAATGTATTCTGTATGATATTTATAATTACAATCACATGACCAAAAGATCATCTTACATTTTAAAAGCACCATATCAATGACTTCTAAATATAAAATTTGTGCAATATAACAACACAACCATGACTTCTGTATACGCTCACGTACACAAAGTATACAGATACTTCTATACAATACACACAGCACCGAATTAGTGACAAGTGGGGACACGCGAGTAACTAAATTTGGCCTTCGTCGTCGGGGCAGCGGCAAAAGCTCACACGGTCCGACTGACCTAAGTTGGTTTCACTGATGACGTCTGCGAGGATTATTTCTGTAAAATTCGCGGTGGCAAGCTTCGGAATCAAGCGAGCGAGCAGGAGAGAGAGAGAGAGAGCTGGAGAGAATGCAATCGTGGTGTTGATGCGAGCTCCGATGTGGAGGTGGAAGGTATGGGGTCGGAGGCTGCACCGTTTTGGTTGGGGGAGCCAGGAGATGGGAGGTTTGGACACGAGGAGGAGGAGCCAGGGGAGATTGTTACGGTGCTGAGAAGGCGGTGATAGTGTTCTAGTTTCAGTGTAGAGCTTTAGTTTTTTCTGTGTGCCATGTGAAGAAGGGAGTAGTGAGATGGTTGACGGTGCTGAGGAGTGGTGGGAAGGGAGGATTGGATGCGAGGTTAGTGATAATCAGGTCTTGGATCTGATGATGAGGTTAGGGTGCTGCTAAGACGCGACGAGGCTTGAGGAATTTGTAGTGTAGTAGCCGGTCATGGGATTTCGGCGAGTGTTCGTGAGGTTGTATCCGGCGAACGGATCGGAGGAGTGTGTTTGTTGTTGCTCGGATGCGGGTTACAGACAATTTTGGTGTTTATTAGGGGTTAGAGCTGTGGTTTGAGAATTTTGGTTTTGCTTGATCGAGAGCGAGGGCTTTGAACGTGGCGAGGCTGGAGAAGGAGATCTATAATGAGGATCTCCGATTGTCGAATTAGTTTTAGGATAGTGCTTGTTACTATTTTTTTATGGATTGGGACCGCTTCAGCTCAATGTTCGTCTTCGAG